CCTCTAGATAAATTGTTGTCATCTAACAAGTGGTATCATGAGCTCCGGTTCATTCTGTGCTTCAAAAACTCTTATTAGATAGTGGATACCAAACCTAAAGGTTCGTACAATAGAGCACATATATTCACCGGTGAAAACTATGGCTATTGAAAAGCTTGTATGTGCATTAATATCAATTCATATGATAAGGGTGTGTGGGATGCCATCATCAACGGTCCAACTCAAATTATTGTGACCGATGTTAATGATGTTGTCACACCTAAATCGGAAGCACAATAGAATGATGATGATAAGTAAAAATTAGGTTACAATTGGAAAGCACAAAATATTCGTATATTCGCTCTTGGTGTTGAGGAATTTTATCGTGTTTCTCATTCTGAAATTGCTAAAGCTATGTGGGACACATTACAAGTTGACCATGAGGGAACAAATAAACACAAACAAGCTAGAATTAATACACTAAATCAAGAGTTCAAACTATTTCGCATGAAGCATGGTGAAACCATTGCCAAAATATGAAAGAGGTTCTCTCATTTAATAAAATGTTTAAATGCACTTGGGAAATTGGTTTCCAATGAAATTGCTACTAATAAAGTAATAAGGTATCTTTCTACGAATTGGCAACCAAAGGTCACCGCGATCAAGGAAGCTAATGATCTCACAACACTAGACCTCACTACACTGCTTGGTAAGCTTGAAGAACATGAGCAAGAACTCACTTGCTTGGAAAAACATGAGAAGAAGCTAAATAAGGAGAAAGGAATGGATAAGGAGGTAAAAAAAGAAGTTTATTGCTATAAAGGATTCTAGTTCGAGTTCCTCAACATATGAGCAAAGTGATAGGGAGATTAGGGATGATGAGAATTCGGATGATGAAAAGATGGGGTTGTTTACCAAGAGGTGCAATAGGCACATTAGAAAGAATGGAGTAAAGCACTTCGACAAAAACATCATCAAGTTTAGAAGACAATCCACATCCTTAAGAAAAGATGACAACAAGAAAGGAAAATCAAGAGGTATGCGTTGCAATTATGGGAAATTGGGTTATTATAGGTCGGAATGTATATCTCTTGACAAAGATAAAGAAAGGGTCCAACACAAGAAGTATAGAAAGTCTAGAAGAGCTTATATTGCTTTGGAAATAGTGATTCCTCAAGTAATAAAAGCTCAAGTGATAATGAAGTGGAGGCAAGTGTATGTCTCTCAACCCATTAATGTCATAAGAAGAAAAAGAATATAAGTCATTTTAAATATGAGCATGTTGATAAGTTGTCTTATTTCAAGTTACAATTAGCTTTCGAAAATCTACATAGAGATGCAATAGATGCTTTTAAAAAGTTAGATTCACATAAAAGTTTTTTTTTTCAAATTTAGAAGCTAAAGTTTTAGAAATCGAAAAGAAAATGGAAGATCTAAAGAAATCTAAGGTAGATAGATAGTCTAAAAGTTAAATAAGAGGATGAAGAACCTTCAAGGTTCAGTTGTGAAACTTGTCACACTTGACAAAAAGAGTATAAAACTCTTAAAGCTAAATTGGATAAGACATTACAATCAACTATTACATTTTCTATTGATCCATCAAAGTTTAAAAAGTCTTTGAATAAACCTCATAAAAAGTATAGCTTTGCTAAAAAGGATCCAAATAGCAAAAGCAAAATTCTTCATAATTTTTCTTGTCTTTATTGCTGCAAGAAAGGCCACACTATTGAAAAATGAAAATTTAGGAGTTTTTTAGTTCCTAAAGGTGTTTTCAATGGTTTCCCAAATGCAACCATGATTTCACTCACTCTCAAGGATCCAATAAAAAATTTATGCCTATCACCTTTGTTTGATCTTGTAGGTTAAATGTCTTGGCTCTATGGAGGGAAGATGGATTCTCGATAGTGGATGTTCAAGGCATATGACAGGAGACATTTCCTTATTCTCCGACTTTATGGAGAAGAAGAAAGGTTTTGTGTCCTATGGAGACTACAACAAAGGTGCAATACTTGGAAAATATAGTATAGGTAATCTCTCATCTACTATCATCTCCAATGTTATGTTAGTTGAAGGCCTTAGGCATAGTCTTCTTAGTATTAGTCAATTGTGCGACAATTGTATGTTTAATGGTATGGGGGTAAACAATATATATATATATATATATATATATATATATATATATATATATATATATATATATATATATATATATATATATATATATATATATATATATATATATATATATATATATATATATATATATATATATATATATATATATATATATATATATATATATATATATATATATATATATATATATATATATATATATATATATATATATATATATATATATATATATGCTTGACTTGAATTATGTATCTTTGACCAATGCTAAGTGTCTTGTTACCGTGAGTGAAGACTCATGGCTATGGCATGGACGTTTATCTCATGTCAACTTTGATTCACTAAACAAAGTGGCTTCAAAAAATTTAGTAATCGGTCTACCTAAAATAAATTTTCAAAAGACCACATATGTGACGCATGTCAAAAGGGGAAGCAAACAAGAGTATCATTTAATTCCAAAAACATTGTTTTAACTTCGAGACCTCTTGAGCTTCTCCACATGGATCTCTTTGGTCCCTCACGGACTAAAAGCCTAGGTGGAAATTACTACGGTTTCGCTATTGTAGATGATTACTCTAAATTTCTTTGGACCATATTTTTGCATAGTAAAGATGAGATATTTTTGGCTTTCACACATTATCCCAAAACAAATTAAATTCAAAAATTGTTGCTATCCGAAGAGATCATGGAGATGAATTTGAAAACGACCTCTTTGAGAAATATTGTGATAAATATAGTATTGAATATAACTTTTCAGCTCCTAGGACTCCACAACAAAATGGTGTTGTGGAGCGCAAAAACCGTGTTTTAGAGAAGTTGGCAAGAACAATTCTCAATGATAGTTGTCTACCTAAATATTTTTGGGTCGATGCTATTGACATTGTGTGTTATGTCTTAAATAAGATACTTATACGTCCTAGTACATGCAATTTTTTTCAATTTTTATTGATCGTTGTGTAACCTAGTACACGCAATATCCTTACTTTTTGAGCAGTCCCCATCATACCTTTCGCCAGCCACCAACTTCAAATTTACCTTTTGTTGCTTTGATTTTGACAACTCAACACCTTTTTTGTTTCTCCTGGGGAACCAACATCACCCCTAACCTTCATCTCTTTTGCTTCCATTTCAACAAAGTCGTCGTCCTCTTCATATCACTTGCTTAATCGTTCTTCAGACTCTTCAAATTCATCACTTGATGTGTCCAATGAGGAAATGACCAGAATTTGGATCCTGGATGGCCCTTGAGAGTCCTCTACAATTTTGATATTGAATGATATCCATTGATGATTTCTTCAATGTCTTCTAATAAAACATTGAAATGTTTGGTTCTCACCAGCAGTTGTGCCACATCCATCTTTGTGCAGGCTCTAGTGTTATCATCTGCACATAGATATTCACCCATACCTTCAACTAGGGAAACAAAAAACTCATGATTCCAAGCTTTAACTTGTATATCGTAGAATCTTATCCAAGTGACTCTTTTAATATCAACATTTGACAATTTCCATGGTCTGACTTCTTAAAGACATTAACTTAACCATTGTTTTCCTTCTTTCACTAAACCTTTCAGCTCATCTTTCAGCCTATCTTCTAACAAGTAAAGGTTAGCGCCTAATGGAGTGACTTAGACTGGAAAAATAACATTTCATGTTGAAAGCTTACTGCATTTTGTAAGCAGTCTGTGGGTTTTACAGGAACCCCTCATAAGCCTTACAAAATCTGATGAGTTTGTTTTCCTTGACGTGAAAAACAAAAACTTTCCTAACTTCTGGAGCAGAAGGTCCAACTTTTGATTTAACCATCTCAGCATAAGTGTTTGATGACATTGGCCTCGACTCCTCCTTGAATGTTTTGACTGCTTCCTGCTTCATTCTCCCACTACTTTCTACTTTCTGACGATTCTTTCTTTAGAATCGAGGAACATTGACAAAGATTTTCTCCTCCCAATGATGATGTTGTCAAGCTTCCCTGCAAGGTTGTTTTCATCTCTAACATCAAAAAACCTGACAAAACTATAACACTTGCCTTTGATATCTCTTTTAGACTGAATGACCACTTCATCAATATCACCAAAATTTTAAAATTCCTCGTACATTTCCTTAGCACCAAAGTTCTTCGAAAAGTTCGTAAAAAAGAACGATGATCTCTTTTTGTACTCCTTCATGCCGTGTTGGTTTGTTTTCCCTACGTTATCCCAACGAATTTTGTTTTCCCTACGTATCTTTACTTGTTGCCAATAATATATGACTGAAAATCTCTTCATTGAAAAAGGTTGCCCTAGGTTGATGGGAGAAAGTTAGAGAGAAATTGGAGTCTCTCTAACTCAATTGTGAATATTTTTTCAACTTTTAAATAATTGCTAGTTTTTATATATCTTTATTCAGCTTTTTTTTATCTTATTATATTTATATGCGCACTAATCGGTCTCTAAATATATAATCTCCAACAACTTATATTAAAAAGTCTTAAGCCTAATCCTAATCCTAATGGTTAATATCTCTAATTTTCATTTGGGAAAGCCCTGAATATTATCACATCTTGAGATGTAAGAATTTGAATTCATTTTATACCTTTTTTATGAGAGATTCATGTTTACAAGAAACTTATATATTTTTCATTCTCATTTAAGTGGATGTGTTTGGGTACTTATTAGTTATTATAATTAATATTTATTGTTACGTGTTAAAGAATTTAGACCGATAGTGGTGAAAATTTATGCAAAATGGTCAAGACTTTCAATTAAAAAACTTACATATTATATTTTCATGTTATTTGATGAACTTTTACCATCAAAATAACAGGTACATGACACATTATCTACAATTGTATCATACAAACAAGATGCAATATGTTGAAAATTCTTATGCATCTAATTCATTATTCAACTAGTGATTAAGGATATTGAGAAGTGCAACTCTAATTTTAATCAAACGCCTAAACAATGATTCAAGTCCTTCCTCAAAGTCTTGTATACATGATCCTAAACTCACCAACTTATTTTGCAAATTTTCAACATCACTTAACTTGCTTCCAATGTTAAAAGCAAATAACTCCAAAGCATTGTCCACTTTTGCAAACTCATTCTCATCCTCACCTTGTGATGATGAATTTGACACCCTTTTGCTATTCATTAGCTTTGAAACTAAAGACCAACTACTTCTCTTTGTTTGTGTTCCACACATAAAATTCAACAATGACTCAAATATAGAAAAAGTTATCATTTCAACCTCTTTCAACAAACTAACTGTTGCCAAAGTTTGATAATCTTTGTTATTGTTAATAGATAAAATACATTTATTTGTATTACCTTTCAAAATTTCCAAGGCTTTGAATATAGCCTTTCTCACCACTTTCCTTGAGGTCAAAAACTTCTTAACCTCTATTGTAACCTCTAATTCACCTCCTCTCTTTCTTCTTATAATCGATTGTAGCTCGCGTGCGCACTCTTTCGTGTGAAGTAACGCGTCTTTTGTCGCGGTGCATGTGTCTAGAAGCCTTAAGGAACCTTCCAAAAATTCATCAACCCATTTCTCTTGGCTTTGTTTCACAAGTGCTTCTTGTGTCAGAGGTAGTTGAACCAATTTCTCAATGCATATATGCAAATTTTGAAGAATGTTTAGTTTGTGGATGAGAGTTAAAGAGGAAATTGCATCATAGTTACTATTAGCACCCCCCAATTTTGATAAATGTCCATTGCATTGTAGAATTATAGGGTGTGGCTTAGAAGGTAAACTATTAGAACGAGCATGGTTATGAGTTTTGGTGTTCAATGACGAGAACTCCATTTTTTTACAAGAAAAAAAGTGTTCAATTGAGTTGTTAGTTTGCTATCTCTCCTAAGGTATTGAAGATTATATAAAGGATAGGAAACATTAGGAACATTAGGAATCTTATCTTTAAAAATATATAATTAAATGCTAAATTATAAAGATTGATCTTTACATTTATCAGATTTGTTAGTCTAATGTCTCCCCCATCATATCATTACAACTCATACTACAATATTTTGTATTACTTGTTAATTTTGTAATGGTTTTGTAATCATGTTTGGCCCATTATTTTATGGTTCATTGTATCTTTATTATACATTACACGAGGGACATTGACATTTTCTATGGTGGTTGCAATTGAAATTAATTAGAGCTTGTCTTATGTTGAGTTATTTTATCAACCATTGTAGATAGATGCATGCAAAGACTAGCTAGCTAACAAAAACGCCAGCTAAGTAAGGCATGCACCTCTCAGGTAATCAATTTTGACTCCTTGTCGACTATGATATCAATATTCATAACCAAAATTATTTTAGCACTTTCAAATTTCTACTAAATAGAACTTGGAAGGTGAGTGAATTACTTCACTAAATGAGAATTGCAAGAGTTTTGCAAAAAAAAATAGAAGGGTGTAATTGTTGATAAGAGTGTCTGAGAATGTTTATAAATGAGGATAACTCCCGTCTTATAAATTAGCTTTATAGAAATGAGTTATATTTAATCTACATATTTTAAGATGGTATCAGAGTCATATTTATGATCTTTTGATCACATGTTTCTACTTTCGAGTCATCTATCATTAATATTCACGCTCTAAATGTTCAATTTTAAGTGTGAGGGGATATGTGAAGAATCTCACATCAAACAAATTAAGGCCTGAATCTTCAGAGATTTGAGAAATATTATTGTAAACACACTTTTATGTGAAGTACGAAGTAGATGACTGAGTAATAATTGTAAGCTTTATATTATTGATGTAATCATTGTTGAGAATGATTAAAATATATATTCTTAAATTTCACATTGTCAATGAAGAAGGTGTTTGTCATGGTAGATATAGAGAGTATGATACATTTTGTTGGTATTGAGTAGAGGTGTTTAAAATCGAACCAACCCAATAGAAAATTGTAAACCAAACCAAATTAAATTGAAATCGCAAAAAATTGCATTTGGTTCAGATTTGTTTGGATCATCTATTAACAAAACTGTACGGTTCGGTTTGATTTGCGGTTTGTATTTTGTAAACCGAACCAAACTAAATCAAACCGCATTATATTACAACATAAATTTTACTTAACTCACATCCAACTCAAACATAAACTTATTATATGTTATCCTTATGATTACAAACAATTTTCTCATCCTTACACTTATGGTTTCAGTTTTATTCTTCTCAAATCTCTTCTAACATTATCACGTCATCTTCGCCACATGCATCTTGCCTCTTCTTCTATGATCTCTACTCTCTTATATTCTTTCTTTTTCACCTTCTCATTTTTATGTAAATCTCCCTTCTTTCAATTTTGTATTTATTGCACATCTTCTTCTCTAATCTCTCATCTTTTCTATTTTTTTGTTTCATTATAATATTTTTGATATTATTTTATGGTATTATTTTATGTTTATTACTCCATATGTCTCATATTATAAGAGAAATTCAATTTTAGATTTATTGAATAATTAATGTATCTGGTCTATACATTAATTATTCAATAAATCTAAAAAGTAAATTTCTCTTATAATATTGTACGCATGGAGTATTACACTTTTGTCTAATCTAATTTTTATATATTAAATAAAAAGTTATTATCCAAATACGATGAGCTTCGTTGTTATTTAGTTTGATAGTGTATGAATGACTAAATACAAAGTTATGTTGTCATCTACATGGATATATATGACTCAATAAAATATTTATAAAAAATCGAACCAATCGAACTGAATCAAACTGCATTAGTTTGGTTCAATTTTTTTTTTAAAAGTTAATCGAACCAAACCAAACAGCATGTCATTTTCTCTTGCAGGTTGGATGACTTTTAATGTCAAAACCGCTCAAACTGCATCGCAAACACTCCTAATATTGAGGTTAGATAAAAATGTATAGTTTTTATTCACAAACAAAAATATACTAAAGAGATCTCGTAAAGATTTGGCATGTAAATTAATCTTACCGGATCAGACTTTGACCGTCACGACTGGCTCCGAGCTGAAGTTGAACGAGATGGGGGATACCTGCAAGGCACTCTGATGCTAAAGTGAGTGGTAGTACGAGCAGGCAAAAAGTATGTATATGGGTAAGAGAATGAATACATGACCCTCTAGGAATAGAGGGTATTTATAGCCCCCAGCGCAGGGCCAAGGTCCTTTCATTGGGCCGACCAGGACTGGCCCAATAAAGGAACTGCCAGGTTCTACGTGTGTAGAGGGGACCCGCACGTGGTCCCCTTCCTGGTGATGCTCTGCGAGAAGTACAGAGGGACGAGGACGCGGTCTTTCCGGAGTTCAAGGGATGGAGTAACGGTCATAGTCTGCCCTACGAGGAAGGTGCCTGAGGTAGGCTCGAGCTGAATTTCATATGGTCGACGATGTCGTGTTCGCGAGGCAGTGGCAGGCACGGCCGTAGCTTCTGGTCGACGCGCTGCGGGCATCTTTGGGCGTGCGCCCCTTGTAGAGTTGCTTGGATTGGGCCTTCGTTCTTGCTCTTGGGCTAAGACGGGCCCGGCCCAAAACAGGAGCCCCCCAAGTCGTGGCTCCTGGAGCAGGAGTCATGGCTTGATCTCAGTATGTATTCGTCACGGGGCCTTACGCTCGGCCAAGATATTTGCTTCCCCGTGGACGCTCGAGGAGTTTCTCCTGCGTCGCATTCGTGAGATAATCCCTTTTGAGGCATGTTCGGGGGACTCTTTACGGGTTGAGCTCGATAAGTGTACGAGGCAACCCTTGGGAACCGTGATGCCACCCTAGTAAAGGTAGAGTCATCATTATTTAGGGGAGTAGACGTCGGGGAGGGGAAGCTCGTGGTCCCCCTGGGGAGACGTTTCGTATTCCACGCCATCCCTATAAATAGGATCATTGGGTCCCATAATCCGTTTTCTCCTCTTCGCACTTCTCCTCCTTCTTCTGACTTTGCCGCCGCTGTTTTTCCAGAATTTCATAGGACCACCGTGCTTTCCGCCGTTGATTTTCTTCCCTGCCGCCATACATCTTTCAAGTAAGTGTTTTATCCCTCATGTTTTTCTCTGTGGTAGGTGATTGTTTTCATTATTTGTATGTTAGAAAATCCGCGCCTGGAATTAGCCCCGGTACATTCGCCTTCTTGTCCGGCATATTCATGTTTATGCCCGGTGAATGCATGTTTGCGCCCGGTAAACGCATAATTTAGGCATGTGACTCGCAATGCTGCCCGGGATCTTCATGGTTTTGGGCGCCTAACTCGTGATATTTCCCGGTAAACCCATAGTTATAGGTTTAGGATTCATGATATTGCTCGTCATATTCATAGTTTAGGTCGACGCACTCGTGACTGGCCGGAATGTTGGCCCATTTGGGCAGTATGTAGGACGACTCATCGTGGCACCTTGGCGTCGGGGAGGTGAAACCAGACTCTTGTTCGAATCCTCCATGTTTAATCGTGTGTGGAGCATGACTCGTCTTGCTGTGCCCTTCTTCCCGTCAGTTATGGCGAGCGTATGGATTTGCTCCCAAATTGACCAGTTTCTTGTGCTTTGCAGGTAAAATGGCTGATGAACCGGGGTCCTCGGGGCGCAACGAGGTCGAAGATCCGAGTGCCGAGGAAAATGTGACTCTGATCGATACCATTGATGATCCTTTGCTATAGTGGGTGGGCGTCGAGCCCAGAGGGATCGCTTCTGCATATAATCGGCGCAATTGGAGCGCGTACACTATCGTCGAGCACGGCGGTAGTCAGTTGGGCTTCCAGAAAAATTCTGTCATCACTAGACCGTCTATTAACGCGCGAATCTGCTCGGAGTTCTCTGAGTATGGGTTTCCTATGTATGAAATAGTGTTCAAGGACCTCGGTCTCCAGCTCCCCTTTAGTGATTTTCAGGTCGGGGTATTTAGTCATCTGGAGTTGGCCCCCTTGCAGCTTCACCCCAACTCGATTGCCTTTCTTCGGGCGTTCAAGCTGACGTGTCACTTTTTAAGGATTAGGGCGACCATACCTCTCTTCTTCGGAGTCTTTCATTTACAACGCCAGTCTCGGGGAGGTAGGCACAGTTGGGTTTCCCTGAAACAGTCGAAGAGGCTGTTCAGGATGTACATGGATTTTGTCTGGGGGTTCAAGGACAAATGGTATATTGTGCGGCCGGTCACCCAGACTTCTCTAGATTTTGTATGTGAGGAAGAAACTGTAGTGACCGACGATCACGGGAAGCCTCTTATGGACGATGAGGGTCGCCCGGTGTTGGGGCGCGTAGCTAAGTTTCCCTTGCATTGGAGCTCGCGCCACTACGAGCATGGCACTGGGCATTACCATACGCCCGCGGGAGGGATGAGCATCGAGGATGAGGAGGCCTACGGTACCCTCTGCAGATATGTCGACAGTTTCTTCCCTACCCGGTGGGCCACGAGGGAGGGAAAGGACATTCTCGACGAAGATGGTTACCCGACCTTTGAGGCCCGACCTATAGATACAAAGGCGCTTGTGGAGTGTCAGTCCTACGAGCAGGCCGCGAACCTGCTAGGTTGCTTTTTGTCTTATAGTCTTGTTCTAATTTCTTCGTTTGTTACTTGCTCGTAACTAACCCGGGTTTTCTTTTTTGCAGGTCATATGGCCGGGCGAAAGGAGAGGCTTCTAAAGTTGACACAGGATAAGAAAGTCAACAAAAGAGTGGTGCGAGCTCCTCAGGCGACGAGGATGGGCCCGCCAACTAGTTCGGGTGATGCTTCTGGCGGGTCCCCGGACTCCCAGGATATCGAGTAGCATGTTGATCTGATACCGAGGAAGAGGAACCGGGTAGAGAGCCAGCCGGAAGTCAACGAGGAGTCTGGCG